AGCTATGAAAATGGAATGGTAAACTCGCCTGCGATGTCGATATACGCTAGTGGAGTACCAGTGAATGATAATACTTATAGGTGAGGATGAAAGTAGGTCAGTTGGTCTATCGTGATGAATTTATTAAGATTTAACCACGATGGTTTCTAGGGACCACTTGGAAACTCTACCTGATATACGATAAAGTGCTCCGCTAAGTTCTGGTTTCAAATAGTACATATTGCTGATCAATTACTCAGGCATGACATCCTTATCTTCAAGAACCTTTACATCAGCCAGAGAGGTTACCTGTAATTCCTACGGTTGGCGGTCGGATTGGCAAACGCAGTTAGGTTTTGGTGATGTTTTGAAAAGGGCGCTGCTGTCAATCCCTCGATCATTAAGTTCTCTTAGTCGCTTTTTACAATACCCACGGGAAAGTATAGGAATGGTCTATTCTATGCCAGAACTAAACGGCAGTCTTTAGGAATGGTAAGTATATTTTCAATAGACTTAAATATATTTTTTTATTTATTAGCGTACATTTTTTGACACTGTTTCTATTCTTTTTTGTTTAATTGAAAGAAACGCTCCGTCCCGTTATTCTGCACACTAATTTGAAATCCTATTTCTTTGTGGAAGATAATCTTAAATTCGTGTCTATATACACGTTTCAATTTAGTATCCATTTGTACAACGAGAAATGTCTTCTCAAATAAATACGAGTGTATTATATACAAAGGAAAACTCTCATGGTGTTTACAAGATCTTTCAATATAGGTGAAACCGAATAAGATTCCGTCCGATTAAGAAGTTGCGATCTCCTCGACGCCTACGTTGAAATAAAAGTTGCTTCCAGTAAGCTTATTTATTCAGGACAAATTGAATATTATATTGATGTATCGTTTCAAATGTTCGTGTCAGTTTTGATAAATTAAATAATTCCTCGAATTTAAAAGATACTTGTATTGATGTAGATGAAAAATGTAATAAGTTTTAATCGCACTTGTTTTCCAATCTACGAGTATGATTAATATTTTTTTTTATAAACCTATTATTTATAAAAAAAATCTTTTCATTCACTACTTCTCAAGCGTGGATTTACATAATTTTTTTTTTATAGTTACTACTAGTCAAATATATGTATCAGAGTACCTATAAAATTCTCGATAAAACTTTATTGACATGCTACAATAGTAAAAAGATTTGGTTTTTTTTATTTTATATGACGTCAAATTTACATAAAAATGACTATGTAATTAATGTTAATTATACTATTATACGTAGTTACTCATAGTATAAGAAATACCTTGTTTCTATACCTATAGTCTTAAAAAAATCTGTTGTGAGAAATATACAGATAACAAACCTATCTAATCTTAGAGGCAAAGGGATTGTTAGTAATGCGAACTACAAATTCCATTATTAGCAGTATACTTTGTCAGGTCGACCTCCACATGGCCTCTTTGGAATCCATCGTACTTAATTCCAAATGTACTCATCACGATGCGCTAACTGACCTGCTTTTTCATTTTCATCTATCATCTTTCACTGGTACTCCGCTAACTTATACTGTTAGCGCAGCCTACCATTTCATTATCATCCATAAAAAAAACTATCCAATTATCTATTGGCCTTGAATATCCGTTTACAAGAAAGGATAGAATGAGGTTCCTGCCGAGGTTTTCCCAAGAGACTACAGCATGGGGTTCTTCAGAAGAGGAGTAAAGAGGTTTCTTCAAGGTCGGCAACGCGCGCGTAATTCTTCTGATATTGCAGGCGTTTATAGGCTACGGTAACCGCTTACTATCAGGTAGGCCGTATGCTTGTTTACCACTTCAGTGGTATAAAAAAGGATAGGGATAGCCTATTCTATGCCAGTAAGACACGGCAGTCTTCAAGAATATAGAGGATTTATATTATTAGTGTTCTTCTTTTCCTAAATAACGGATCCATTAAAAATGATTTAAGGCGAGATACCTCGGAAATTAGCAAAATTATTGTTAAGAAAATCCGGTTTTACATTCAAACTGTGGCGAATTTATATTGAAAAAGAAAAGAAAATACTACTAAGGTCTCTCATTAGTGTTCCCAATATATGATTATTTTTCGTAGTAATATCTGTAGTGAAGTAAAATTTATATCCATTTTTAATTGAGTACAAATTTTATTTTTCGTATTTGACGACCAAAGAATTTAATAACGAAGCAAATGAAGCTCTTGCCCGCGAATTCGTACGCGTGGACTTTGCTTTCCACCTTAGGGATTCGATTTTAAAAATTCCTTTTTTTCACCTACGCTATATAAAGAACTTGAAGAAAGTGCCTTCGTTTTTCGTGTGTGTCGTAAGAGGCAACTAAGAACACTGAATGGTCGATGGATGTGCAGCAGTGTTTCTCTCAAAGCATCGTTAAAGCCTAACTGCGGTTGCCAATCCGTCTGCTAAGCGTGGCAACTACTGACAAAACTCTTTTTATGAGAGAAGTCTATGTTCAGCAGTTGTCAGTTAACGACCGACATGGTGATGATGATATGAAGAACCTGTTTGCAAAATTTCCAGACTTTAGATTCAGTAGCTTCGGCTGTGTGATGATAATGAGCCAGTTACTTATATTGCATCCTCTTTTACGTATACATATAGATTATTTTGACTCATATTTTATTAATTTATATTTGTCTAATGTATAAATTTACTTTAATACAATTAAATTATACTAAAGATTTAGATATAAATTCTGGGTGCATGCCTGAAATAAAATTATTTTAATTATTATGTATTCAAATTATTAAGACAACTACAATTCTTAATAAATTAGTCAGAGGTATTTCTCAGCAATTGTCGTTATGGTGCATGTAACGGGTTTTGAGTCAGCTAGATTCGAATTCTCGTACTTTCGAATTTATAAGTCGGGATAGTATAGGTATCATTAGGCCGGGAGTAAGCATAGTATAAAGAATTCTGCTTTTCATATATCTATGTATGCTTTTGTATACTCCTAACACTGTGCTATTGCTCTGTCTAAATTATTTGCACTTTTTTTTTTAATTTATAATATATTAGAAATAAATGTTATTGAATTTTGAAAAGGTTCCGTGGACTTATTTTTCAATAAAAATTAATACGTTTCGCAATTCTGAAATAACCTAATTATAAAGCAATAAGCGTTCATGTTGAGTGGGCGGAATCCTTCGGATATCGAATGACCTCGCCTTAATGGTTTTGCCCCATCATAAAAATGAACATGATCGCAATCTCCTTTCAATATTAACAGTTCTTTTATAACAATAACTAGCGACCCGCCCCGGCTTCGCACGGGTGCAATATTTGTTTATGTAACTTTTAAACTGTTTAACACATAATAGGTAAAACCATTATTAGTTAATAATTTTAATTACAACATTTAAAGAAATATTATTTTATAATAATTTTGTCAATGACATTTAAAAAAGCATATAACTATAACTACATATATGATCGTTATTAGGAATTCAGAATAATCAATAAACATGATGTAGAAGTAAAATTGTATGCAAAATTGAGTAATTCTTTTTATTGTTCATTGAGCAATAGGAGTAAAGAGTTCTATTTTTTTTTTGATGGGTGAAAATGGAATGGTAACCCCGCCTGCGCTAACAGGAAACGCTGGCGAGGCACCAGTGAAGGATGATTGATGAGAATGAAAACAGGCCAGTTAGCTCATCATGATAAATTCATTAGGAATTAACCATGATAGTTTCCAGGGGAAACCGCGAGGAGGTCGACCTGGTTGGTTATATTGCTAGCAATGGGATTCTTAGTCTCCATTACTAATAATCCCTTTCCTCCCAATAGGAGTCTATTACTAACATTATAAATGTATGAGTTTATTTATTTAGCTATTTATTACTTCTTTACATCTTAATGACTCAATTATTCTTAATGAAATTACTTAATTTAGTATACAATAAATAATTGGGATAGAAAAAAACACAGGCTATTTTTATATCGGTCAAAAATATTTCTTTCACGTTGACAAATTCATGGATAAAAACTAGTATAAATATATTGATATAAACCAAACACCAAAACGTGACTTACAAAAATAAAGTCGTGAATAAAATATCCATAAAATTTGATAGAAGAACGCCAAGTTGTCTTTTAAACGTTCCAACTGGCATCTATTCGAAGCATCGATGTGTATGGGCGTATATGACAGGCCGGATCCTCTGTAGCTGGCATCCGTTAAAGAAAATGTACAACTAAATTGTAACAGAATTTAAAAATTACATTTCAATAAACTTTCTTTTTTAGACACAGATAATTCTGTACCTTATTCAACTGATATCAAAAGAAGGTTGTATTTTTGTTTGTTACCTCATAACTCGGTCTGTTATTAACCGATTTGGAAAATTCTTTTTTTATCTATAAGAATATACTTTCAGATGGATCCAAGAAAAAATTTTATCAAAATCGTATCATATGATATCATAGATATCTTACATTTCGAATAGACTTCAAAAAGAAGCAGGTTCTCAATTCATTTGTTTTTTTTTTTTTTGTTACCTTATATGATCAGTTGTAAACTTTTTTTTTTATACAACTTAGAATGGCAAAAAAGCTAACGGACCACCTGATGGAAAGTGGTAACCGTCGCCTATAAACATGAGCAGTACCGTGGACATAACAGAGTATACTGTTTCGCCCATGATACCCCCCATGCGTTGCCATTCCTGAGGACTCAGGTGTTATTTCTCTCTACCCAGTAAATTCACGCCATATCCCACCCTTCAAACCGAAACACAGCCATGCAAACACAACTGCTTTATGGTTGAAACACGAATGTGACAGACTGTATGTAATGTTTTGGTATGTAAAATTCTTTTTTATCAGACAAAATATACATACAGATTGGTATCATAGAAACTTTATCAAAATCGATTTTGTAGTTTAGTTTTTAAATCAAAATGACTGGTTTTGCCACAATTGTAGTATTTTTTATTTTTGGAACACAATTTAATTATTTATTTTCTTGTTGTTATAGAAATGTAAATTCGTAACACCATGGCGTCGCTACACATCGCGTGGCGGTACAGTGGGCTGCAAATATTCCTGCTGAAAGTAGACACCAAAACCTGAAGATGATGTACCGGACCAGCTTCCTGGACTAAAATGGAGTTCGCCTCTATTTTCCCTACCAATGTAAGTATTGTTTTTCAACCGACTTCAAAAATAAGGAGGTTATCAATTTGCTTGTATGTTTTCGTGTTTAATGTTTATTACATTATAACTTCTTTAGTTGTAAACCTTGTAAAATTCTTTCTTATTTGAAAGGATATACATATTTATGGATTGGTGCCATAGAAATGTTATTAAAATCGATTCCGTCGTTAAGTTTTTAATACAAAATAACTGGTTTTGTCTTGATTACTTAAATAACTTACAACTCAAACACCACCACTACACCTGAATGAAAGTGGTAACCGTCGCCTACAGATACGAACAGTACAATGGTAAAATTCATGTATATATACACAATATGCTCTGGCGTCCACGACATCCTTCATGCGTTGCCATTTCTGAGGACTAAGATTTTATGCCTCTGTACCCTGTAATATCGTTGTCATATCCCACCTTTCAAACCGAAACATAGCCATGCAAACAACTGCTTCACAGAAAGACGAATGAGACAGAGATACCCAAGAAGACGGCTTTTGTACAAAGTCTCCCTCTGGTGAAATTAAACTATTTCTTCAGCAGCAGACATTCGCTTGTATTCGTTAAATGGAAAATATTTCAAAGTTACCTTAAAAGGGACACCTGTGGCCTTGTCTCCGGCTTAAGTATACTTATTACCTTAATCCGTATTCATCTTATCTTTACTGTCTTTGTATAATCGTATTATATAATTCCAGTTTGTTGTACAATATTAAGATTAAATGACCATATTATTCACTTATCTAGGATTAGTATACCAAGTATGAGTATACCAAGTCGAAAATGATTTGGAATTTTTGAAAATATTTTTTTAACTTTGCATTACAAATCAGTTCCGTTACTGTGTGACGGTTCGCCTATAGTACAATAGGTTTAATACCATAAGTACATAAAAGAAACAGGGGTTCCTATGGGTGACCGCTACGAAAACTGAGCTATTTAATATAAACAAACTTTAAAGTCAAGGTTCACAATAGCGTACAGAGAAGACGTTACCATATATGAAATATTGACACAGAAAGGAAACTCCTTTGATGTGTTTCCAAAGTGTAGTGGATGTCACAAGAAAATTTAATAAATTAAACAAAAATATATTATATTTTATATATAACTAAATTATAGTTTACCTTTTATCATCAGATGTAAAAAAGGATGCATACAACACAGTTTAATAAGGTTTATGAGAGCCTTTAAAGTTTTATAAATTCGATAATCAATTTAATATAAAATACCAAAATACGTTAACATATAATTAAATTGAATTTAAAGAAAAGTTCAGTTCGAATAATAGGCTAAATCTGATTATTGAAATATCTACCCTTCGGTGACATAATCTATGACGTTATTAGAGAAAGAATAGAAAAAAAAAGAAAAAAGAGGAAGAGAGACGGCAGATCGACGGGCGCGCGGGAGTCGCTTTTTAGGAATTGCGGAATAAAAAAAAAAAAAAAAAAAAAAAGAGGACGGCAAATGGCGCGGGAGTCTTGTTTTAGGGATTGCGCAATAAAATAAAAAAAAATAACTGGGATATAGATCTAGGAGGGACTGGTTCGATGAAGGGGTTTGAGATCTTAGTGTATCACTATGGATTAAGTGTGTGAAATTAATCAATAGAAGACTGGAGAATCCGGTGAGCTTGTTCCATTTATTACTACGTAGTTAGATTTTTGACTGTGATCACAGCCAAAGTCTATACTTAATATTTTTCCCAACAACTATTAAAATACGTATTTAGTCGAGTCCATATACCTTTAGGTAATGCGTATATCGTTAAATGCAATCACATTTGAACAAAGTTTACATCAATATAATTTACGTACTTACGTTATTCTACTCATATACAAAATCCAATTATATGGTCGTTTGATAGAACTCCATCAATTTGATTCAATGTTCTAATTGTCCAGTTTTGGAAAATACTTATTGAATCAACTATTGAACTATTACAATACTAACTAGTTTCATATCTAGTTATTATAAAGTATTTATTTATTGAGGATAATAGACTAAAGTGACTATGGTCTGGTCTCATTGCTGGGGAAACAGCCATTGATGAGAGAGAGGGGTTATTGAGTGGCGACCCTGTAAATGCAAGTGCGGAGTGGGCTACCTCCATTGTTTGGAGTGACTGTTTTATGTGTATTGTGGGGCCGTTCCTTGTGTCAGTCGGTGGAAATTGCCTGTGTTCAGTCGTGGGTTGGTGATGGTTGAGACGATGATGATGATGAAATATTTGTATTTATTACACTATTACAGTGTTGGTTTGGAATATCTGTTCATACTTAACGCTTCATGGTGAAGTGTTTTTATACCATTACTCGGTCGACCAGATTAATGATTCTTAGTCTATATTTGATTATCCATGACTACATGTGGGGATTTGTTTTACACCAGATGTACAAAGAGACAGCTTAACTGTTGCAAGTGATATTATGTGAATGTAATACTTTTAATACATTATTAATTGTGTTACTAGATAAATTCATGTGACTGTGGGGTGTTTATGGTAAACAAGCCTGTATTGTTTAAATAGATATTTTGTCTTGATTTATTATAAACTTTAATATTGATTTTGTTGTAGTAAGCAAGCTGATAATAACAATTCTGTGTGTATTACTGATTACTAATAATATTTAATTATGCTGATATTATAGGTGTGGATTTATTTCCTAATGGTAATAAAAGTACTAAAAGATTCTCTGACTATAGTTACTCTTAACTAGGCATGAGGTTCAGTATAAAATTGGTACTGTATGACACTTGTGAAGCTATGTATTTTACTCATATTTAGAAAGGAAGTTGTCCTGGCGATAAGGTTTGTATGTGTGTTGTTTGTTCATGTTATATTGACTAGACAAGTTCAGACAGGGTTAATATTAGTGAATATTTACTGGATTTATATTTAATATACATGTTTTGAATATTTATAAATTTAATTATTGAGTTATATGTTTATGTCGGACTGTATCCAAGGAGATATTATCCTATTAATATCAAGTTAGGACAATTACTTTAAATATTAATAAAGTAAACACTAACACTGATTATTCACTTCTTTAATAAATTTACATTAGAGGTTAGGAATCAAATAGATAGCATATTGGGAAATCTTCACCACACATGTATTTGAGGAATGTTCTTGATTATTAGTACTGTATGTATATATTATTGCAAGTACAATTGCAATAAGAATGTTAAACTTCTAATCTTCTGTTCATTCTTGAATTTGAAAGTAAGCTTGGCTACTGATATGAATATAAAACTGCAGCATTACTGGATACTATTAATTATTTCTGGTGTAAACCATGATTATTTATGTCACTAATATGTTGTATATTACGGTTGATATATGATGATTTTATATTTAATTATATTAAACAAATACAAATAAACAAACTTGCTAGTATTTGTTACGTTGACAGTTGTGATAGATAATCAAAATTCAATTCAATACATCAATACGTCATTCAATACGTCATTAATGTGACAGATGTCAAACAAAAGGAGATTATACACGTTATGATTCTATATCTAAGTCTATAGAAAATTTATATAATTTTCTGTTATTTTATAATAACTGTAGGGGAAATATTGGAATTATTTATATGAGAAATTTCACTTAAATGATATGATAATTATTTAAAGACCTAATTTCTTAGGGATTTAATCATGATGATTTAAACACTAAAACACTTGTTTATCTGAGAAATCCTCTTAGTAAATAGGTTTACTAAGACACTAAAAGGAAGTAGATATAGTATAACTATAGTACAGCTACAATAATTGTATGGGATTTACTGTCCTTTCTATACAAATATATATTTAATCTATATCTTTCACATTATAATTATGCAATATATTGCCTTTACTACTACAACATACACAAATAGGACTTATTGTCCTTCCTATATACCTATATATAATAATTGACCTAGCACTTTAATGTGTAATTTATCAGTACTTATGACAACAACCAATTAGGACTTATAGTCCTCTCTATAAAGCTACATAATTATTTAATCTGATTATTTCACAATGTGATTAATCAAACCTCTACAAATATTACAAAAGATCTCTATTACTCTCAACACAATAATAGCTTGTTGGACTTAGTGTTCTCAAACTTATAGAAAACCCAACTGGTTATTTCACGAGACGTTGTTAACTTGTGATTAATCAGTGTCTTTTAAAGGACTTATAGTTCCTTTAGATATATCTCTCTGAATAAATAATTGGTTAATTCACAATGTGGTTAATCAACAATAATATTATATATAATTGACTGGACTTATAATTCATTCAATAGCACTCATTACTTTTAGTAGCTCTCGACCTATGGGTTGGACTACTCGTTCTTAGGCTCTGGCCTAATCAACAGATGTAACTTGAACCTTGAGTATTCTTGGTATTAAGTAAATAATATTAAATTGACAATGCTATGTTATGATATAGCAATTATCAACATTATATGGCTTGGCCAATTCCAGGGTGTGGAAGGTATCCCCTATCACACAAATCTTCATCTCTATCGGACTGTCTTCACAGGTGATCTCTAATGTCACATTATAGGGCCGAAGGGTTATGTCCCATCAAAGTAGGTTCTGGTGTCTGGGTGATCTCGCTTCTTGGTCTGATCTCTTGTGGAGCCGAAGGGAAACCCCCATTGAGTAAGCTCGTAACAGGGTGACGCTGGGAAACAGTTTCGTACTGTTAGTGGGTGATCTCTATGTCGCCATATAGGACTGAAAGGGTCATCGCCCATGAGTAAGCTCTCGTGTCGGAGTGATCCTGGGATTTCAGTTCCGATCCTTTTGCCTCTGGCAAACTCCAATTTATACTGGAAGCATCGTGGGGCTGGTGGAGCCACTGTAATGTTGAAGTAAATGTACTTATGTTTGGTTTGGAACTGAGAATACTCATGCCTTTATTACCATCAGAGTGCATTAATAAATAGTAATACCCTTCCCTACCTTTTAGGAGGAAGA